TAACATTAAATCAAAGCATGAAAATAACAAATGTAACAAATTGAAACAATCATTAAACAAATTGTTCAAGTGATTATGAATTAAACAAAGTCCCTAATTAAAATATAAAAATTTCGCTATTAATGCAAATATTATGTTTTTTTTGCTTAAAAGTGTCATGATACTTTGATTTAGCATTCAATAGTACGTAACCAACAAATAATAGATTACACTCTATTTGTTCACCTTGATTATTATTTATATTTTGTCACAATAAATAAGTTTCTTACTTCAGACATATAGATTTCGGTTTCCAAGTGACGGCGTTTAAAGCCTGGCATACCAGAATCAGTATGTTGTATGAATCTCCTTGCATACAGGTCTTTATAATATGGGCTAACTTCTGACTGAAAGCAAATAAGAAATGGTTTAATAATATTCTATAATTTTTAAGCGTACATAACATTTTGTACACAAACTACGCCGTTGGTGTTTTCCTTTGGTTTGTTTTACATTGGTTTTAAGAGACATTTTATAGCTGACAATGTTGTATAGGTTTTGCTCATTTCTAAAGGCCGTACTATGACCAATAGCTCTAAACTTCTATATCATTTGGTCTTTGTGGTGAGTTGTCTCATTGGATATCAAACTACATCTTCTCATTTTTGTATTCTAACTTTTTAAAACAAAATTAATTATTAAGTAAGTATAGATGCTTATTTACAACGCTAAGTACGCATGAATAAATAGTTATTTACATTTGTATGAAGTGTTTGAATAATTACTCGTAATACCTTAACACACACCATGCAGTAAAATAGAAATAAATTTCGTTTAAAAATACCATTGAAATTGATTATGTTTAGGCTGTATTTTTAAGAGCTACTTTTTTAAAAGTTATAAAATTTACGTACTTGATGTAAACTTGTATTGCGCATCATTTGTGAATTTGTGATATCTTGCAGTGGCTGAGACATTTGGAGCTGCTGTTGTGACGGTATCATTTCATTCGATCTGTTAGAAGTCTGTACGGTATTATTTACCTAAAACGACAGAAATATTTGTATTTTTAAATAGGGTATTAATTTAAAAAGTATAATAAGATTTACAAAATTTTGTGACCAATTGAACTTTTTTTCAGAATTAAAAATTCAAATGTAATCCAATTACCCAATCTAAACGTTTAATAGTGATCAAAACATCTTAGCAATACTTACCTCGACATTTTCAACGCCATTTTCGGGCTGCATATAATGCACATTGCTAGTTATAGTTTCATTTCCTGTTATTACCTGAAATGTAAAGAAAACAAATAATCATTCACAAACAAGTACTATGTACATAAATTCCAAGTACTTTATCTTCCATTACAATTTTTTAACCTTATTACAATTAAATTATAATTGTAAAAAATGACTTAATTTGAAAACAATTAAAATAAACAGTTATGTAACATACCGATTCACTTTCATTGATCATGTTGGTAATTCTTGTGTTCCACAACGACTCAACAAATTCCTGATAATCATTTTCTGCATCCATTCTGATAATTTCTTGAGCTTTTTTATGCACACTTTCACTGTTAATCTATAATTATGCAATTAAAATGTTTTATAAATCAAGTATTGTAACAAGAAGGAATTTTAACTTATTTTAAACATACAAATTTATGTTATGCAATGTTTTAATTTGTTGTTTAATAGAAATATTTATATCATTAATGCGCTTTTTAATAGAACAAGGTTTTCGCACTCACCTCAGAATTTGTACTTAATGCACCAATTGTTGCAGAATCAGTGGTTAATTTATTATCTATCATCTCAGACTGCTGGTCTTCATTATTTTTCTACAAAGACATTTTTCATGTGAAATCTTTATAATACACTGGTACAATATAAGATAACAAGTAATAGATATATTTAAAATCTTACCTACGACTTGTGTGCAATTGACAACCCACTTTAGTGAAATATTTTGTTTTACAAGTTCCATTATTTTTAATTTATTTTATAGAAACAAGCAACTATTTTAATACCTGATTAACAACCCCGGGTTCTGCATCAGTAATTCCATTAATTTTCTCGGATTTTAAGTTTTCATTTAATGTCAAGTTATTGTTGTCGTCATCATCTTCCTCTACATCCACGTGAGCCATCTCTAGAAATTCTTTTTCCTCTTTAGTTAGATTACACTTTGCAACCTAAACATAAACAGTACAATACAAAAATTTATTCAAGTATAAATAAACAAAAGGTTGAGTGTTATTGTCCAGTATATGCATGTAATATTTGTCACTGTACATTCAACATGCAAAAATCATTTTTCACTGTGTTAACTTGAAGGAATTACCAGAAATAATAAAACTATTTACTTATATTTTATAATAAACACAAACTTTAAACTTGGTGTAATGTTTTATTCTTAAATATAACCATTGGATTCGTGTATAAAATTGTGTTTATAAGATGATCTTTTAAACTGTACTTTTCAGTGTGGGGTTTTATCATTATCAAACATCGTATTGCAACCTCTTTTTTTTTTTTTTTTATATATATGTGATTTGTGTTTAAATTGAATATTGTCCTATTTGCAATGATACCTCATTTTCTTATTTATAATTAAAAAAGTTTATATAATTTACCTGTACTTCTAATGCCATCGAAAAGTTTGGTCTCTTGAAAAATCTCTGATGGGGTGTCATTGGTCTAGTAGATTTGTTCACTCTGTTGTTATATTTGTAATAAAACTCTCCAAGTAAACTCGGCCAATCTCTTGTGTCAACAAATTGGGCTCTAAAGTATGCAACAACTGTCCTATTAAATCTTTCCACGCGTCCTGAAATTATGGTGTAAAAAAGTGTTATAACATTGTTTTAAATTCTATATTTAATTAATATAGCATTTTGAAGATAACAGTTTAGTTTAGTAATTTATAGGTATACCGTTTGTCTACATTAAAGGTATAAAAAAATTACAAAATAACGTTTTAGCGTCCCCATTTAAATATTCATAAAAAAGTTAAAAAAAAAAAGCCTGTTAAAGATGTAAACCTGGACATAATGTAAAGGCAATATATCTTTCTATTGCTTTTTTTATTGTAATGAATAGGTGATACTAAATTATTATTTAATATTATAGTACAATTCAGTTTTTTTTAACTAACCTTGTGATTGAGGATGGTACGGACGACCATTAATTTTTCTTGTTTTAAACTCATCTATCACTGCACAAAGATCTGCATTGTTAAATTCTTTCCCGTTATCCGTCTGGAGAATCCGAGGTGGACCAAATATATAGATAAATTTTAGGAGCAATTCGGAAACTTCCTTTGCTGTCTTCTGCTTAAGATGTCCACCAAAGGCAAAGCGGCTGTAGCAGTCAACAATATTACATATGTAATTATATCCTTTACATGGAGGCATCTTCTTTAAATCCATTTGCCACCTACTATTGGAATAGGTAGCTGGTATTGGTTTTCTAGTTATTTGTGTCTTTGGTAAATCAACCGCTGCAAGGCATTGCGAACATTTTACATGTTGCTTAAACAGTAATCTAGTATTTTCACGAACTACGGGAAAATATGATTTCCTTAATGTTTCATAAATAGCGTCACTTTTGCGGTGATTAATTTTATGATTGTTGTTAATTTCCACTATCATTTCTTCTTTAGATAAGACTCTTCTATGATTGTCTCCTACCTTTGTACTTCTGTGGTACAATGAACAAGAATGGTCATCATACAGAAAGTTGGCCAAATACTTTCTAACACTTGTATCTCCCATTCGTAAGTTTAGTTCCTCCTTTATTTTTTTAGCACCCCAGCTATTTTCATCAAATTTCTTTTTGCATATCAAATTTACCTCTTCCAATACCGACCAAAAATGTTCCGGATTAGGATCATTAGTTTCTCTTTTCTTTCTTTTTTTGTCAAGTATAAACCCTTCATCTGGACACAAATCCTGGTTTAACGGCACATCCATTTTTTGTTTGTACAAAAGGCTTATAACGTCATAATGATAGTATCGTTGCAAACGTCCATACTTTCGCGAACAAACGCACTTTCGCGGAAAAACGCACTTTAGCGTATTGAGCCATCGGACTTTAGCGTGTTCCAATTAATAGCACAGACCATCGCACTTTAGCGTATCAGACCATCGCACTTTAGCGTATGCCATCGCACTTTAACGTGGCCATCGCGTTTTAGCGTCCCCATCGCACTTTAGAGTCCTACATATATATCCTTATCTGACATATAGTTTGAGTATAGATGGTGTGTGGGTAAGGTTCACTATTTGAGAAAAAATTAAAACAACACCTTATAAATTTCATGCGTCATAAGCGCTTTTCTGGATTTACCTTCATCAGGAACACCCAAAGACGAATTTTTGAAAGCAAAGAATGTATAAGAGCTTAATTACCAAAAAGGACCTAAAAAATAGCCAGATCCATCTAACTTTGCCTGAGGGAGTTGAAACCTTAGTTTCTAATAAGTTCAAAATTTATCAACTGACAATTTTAGAAAGGTTTGAGAAATGTTCAACCATAAATGTCTATGGTTAAAAAATTGTTTTGAACTGATGGCTATCCATTGTTATATATTTCAGTCAACAAAGCTTTTACTAATGTTTATTTTCAGATTTGTCTTTTCATATTTTGGAAAGTCTTAGCAAAATTAATAGCATATTATAACTATGAAAATTTAAATTCATTATACATATTTAAAAAAAAAAATATTGTATTGCATTGGAAAGTATAGCTATTTAGTAAACTCGTAAACTTAGTATTACTAATGCACTATAAAAAAAACAGCAGTAAAATCTTAGGGGAGCAGACATGTAAACTGACAGTAGAATATTCAATGGAATTCCATTGGTATCCCAGAGAAGATTCTGGTAAAATCCCCAACAAAATTTCCCAATGAAAAACCAGTGGTAATCCCCTTGTTGGGTCAACTAATTTTCATTTGGATTTTACTGGTATAACATGCAAATAAAAAAAAAAAAATAGACCAGTTTGGCTTACCTTAACTATTTCTATTGCTGTAGGTGAAAAATCACAACAGTATATCTTTAAATTTGGATTCCTGAAATTAAAATAAACAGTCAGGGATATAACTCTATAGGGTTATTACAGAAAAATAAAATACATATGTTATTGTGGACTAAAAAGTAAAAGAACTGTGATAACATATGTATGTTACATGTTTCATAGGGACAATATACATCATTAGTTTAGTTAAAATGTATACAAGTTCTATTGATATTACTATTGTCTTTATGTATACTCAACTATAGAAAGATATAACAGTTCACAGTTTGCCAATTATGTTTACTACACCTATGTTATTACAGAAAAAATATGCCTGTAATAACTAAAGGGTGTTATCACAGCTTCTCTACATCACTCCAAAGCATTTGACCAGACATACATCATGCTTAATTACAATGTATTTTAATTTATTGTAAGAAATAATGACCAGAGCATCTAATGAGGTTCTGCGCAAGCTTCCCAGTAATTCCCAAGTGTCTCATATAATAAATTACATTCCTTTAATAACTAAGCCTTGTTATTACAGCTAAGTTGCACCCTTAAAAACCTCATCTCATTGATTTACCATGGTTAATCAAAAATGTATTAATTTAATTAAAACATTAGTTATCAAGGCTATGTATTTAGTTTCTGCGCAAAGTCTCAAGAGTTCCCTAGAGCCCACTATAGATTAAAATATTTTTGATTTATTTTACAAATAACAAACATATGTTATTACAGATTTAGAAAATTTAAGGAACAAAGAGTAGACAACTCATGAAAGTATCTGTAATAACACATGCAAGTTATTTTCTGTAATAACCCTATAGAGTTATATCCCTGACTGATAAAAGATTGTATATGAAGAAAAGGTGCATGCATGTGCATTCAATGACTTTTGGTAAAATATAAATACACCATCATATGAATTTTGCATAGAGTGAACCAAACAAATACTAATTAGTACTGTTTTAGTTAACAAATGTATATACACTTAGATATCATGCTTTATTTATCTTTTGTTCATTTTCTTATCAATCCCGATTGAATTTTATGTTGAAATCTTTAAGAAAAAAAGTTCACTACAGGAATATATCATAAACTTTAAATTATAAATAAACTTTGAAAATGAGGTCAAGGTCATATGAATCCTGGTAGACAGAATTGAACACCTAACAATCATACAATACACCAAATAAAATTGACTTATTGTATATAGTATCTGACCAAACCAGAAAAACCTAATGTTTAACCAATGAACCATAAATGAAGCAATGTCATGTCAAATGTAACAATTGGCAGAAAGATATGTAAACAGTACAATTGTTTGCATTCACCAAATAGATTTGACCTATTGCCTTTAATATCTTAGAAATAAACCTAACCACTAAAACAAAATGTTTGGTAATGAACCATGAAAATGAGGTCAGGGTCATTCTGTGTGATGGACATGTAGACCTCACTATCATATCATAAACCAAATATAGTTGACATATTCTTATATATAGTATTTTAGAAATACCGATCTTTGATCAAGAAAAGGAGGTCAAGTTAAGGATAACCCTGCTTGACAGACATGTATACCTTGCATTGATTCTATATACCAAATATAGTTTTTATATCTCTCATATATCAAGCGAGAAAACCACTTGATTTATTAGTTTTTAAGCAGTCACTGAACCATGAAAATGAGGTCAAGGACAATGGATTTATGCAGAGAGGAACATGTGCTTTTGATTTTAAGCCCACATAAAGATCAAATGATATTTGAAAATATAAATGCTTTTCGTTCAGCATGTTCTGAATCTTGAAAAAGTAGGACCAACTTTTCTTCATTTGTCCACCAATATAGGCATTTTGTAAAGAAATTCAAAGTATTCTAACTTCAAGTTCAGTTTCTGGAAACTTAATTAATTTTATATTTTGATTATGAATTAAAAAACAAAAGCTAGTAGAGACAAATTTCAACATTATGCAGATGTCTGTATTTTAAATGAAAACAATTTAGCTCTGAATTGTCCCTAGTCTATAAGAGATTCGTGTTGTTGGTTTGCTGTCTGATGTTGTACACCAGACCACTTTTATTATCATATTCTAAGACACTAAAGTACTAGCAAATATCTATTCAAGGCTTCTGTCTATTTTGTAATCATCTTTAAGTATTTGTGACAAATATTATGAAATATTGTAGCTTTGACTTACAGTCATTACAGCAAAACAATAAGTTTAAGCTTTATCAGGTTGAAATGAAAAAAGGTAAGCTCTGTCAATAAATATTTGTTTTTCAAAATTGAAATTAGGAATGATTGATTAAGGTGGTATGTGAGTATAAATGAAAAATGATAGAAAGTTTTCCTACTTTGCCAACATTTTATATATGTTCAAAAATATAATAAAAATGATAGGTCACCAAGCTTTTTTTCAAGCTATAGGTTGTGAAAAAAATATACATTTTGTATGGATTATATGGGGAAAAACATCATTATGTGAATAGAAGATAAACAAATTGATAGAATTGTGAAATAAAGTATGAGAAGATAGCTGTTAAAAACGCTTGCATAATATAAGTAGAAAATTAAAGATAAGGTCATCATACATTTTTTCCTGCTATAACATTAGGAGCATGTGTCGCTCACCTAGGTCAATGTGCATCTTCAACAATGGAAACTCTCCAACATAGTGGACTAGAATAGAATTAAGGACAAAAATATTGTTTTTGTCTCGTATTGCTGATCATTTTTCTGTTTACAGTGTCTCTCTATCTTCTTTGGTTTTTGCAAAAACACAAACCTTATACATGCTAATTACTGAATTGTTTTCAATACTGGAAAAACTATATTACCAATGCAACATCCCACCTGTCTCATTCTTCAACATGCTACTTACTGGTTTGTTTTCAGGACTAGAAACACTGTATTACCAACTCCAGATCCAACCTGTCTCACCCTTATACATGCATGACATGCTACTAACTGAATTGTTCTCAATGCTGGAAACACTGTATTACGAATGCCACATCTCACTTGTCTAATCCTTCAACATGGTACTTACCAGTTTGTTTTCAATACCGGAAACACTGTATTACCAAACCCACATCCAAACTGTCTAGCCCTTAAACATGCTACTTACTGGTTTATTTTCAGTACTGAAAATTCTGTATTACAAATGCCACACCCCACCTGTCTAACCCTTAAACATGATATATACTTACCATTTTGTTTTCAATACCGGAAACACTGTATTACCAAACCCACATCCCACCTGTCTAGCCCTTAAACATGATATATACTTACTGGTTTCTTTTCAGTACTGGAAACACTGTATTACTTACGCCACATCTCACCTGTCCAACCCTTAAACATGATACTTATTGGTTTGTTTTTCACTACTGGAAACACTATATTACCAATGTCACATCCCACCTGTGTAACCCTTAAACATGATACTTACTGGTTTGTTTCAATACTGGAAACACTGTATTACCAATGCAACATCCCACCTGTGTAACCCTTAAACATGCTACTTACTGGTTTGTTTTCACTACTGGAAACACTGTATTACCAATGCCACATCCCACCTGTGTAACCCTTAAACATGATACTTACTGGTTTGTTTTCACTACTGGAAACACTGTATTACCAATGTCACATCCCACCTGTGTAACCCTTAAACATGATACTTACTGGTTTGTTTTCAATACTGGAAACACTGTATTACCAATGCAACATCCCACCTGTGTAACCCTTAAACATGATACTTACTGGTTTGTTTTCAATACTGGAAACACTGTATACCAATGTCGCGTCTCAATAGTCTAACCCTTATACATGTTACTTACTGGTTTGTTTTCACTACTGGAAACACTGTATTACCAATCCCACATCCCACCTGTATCATCCTTTAACATGATCATGATGATACTTACTGGGTTTTTTCATTACTGAAAACACTGCATTACCAGTCCTTTGAATCCCTCATCCCACCTGTCTCATCCTTAAACATGATACATAAAATTGAGAATGGAAATGGGGAATGTGTCAAAAAGGCAACAACCCGACCAAAGAGCAGAAAACAACCCAAGGCCACCAATGGGTCTTCAATACAGCCAGAAAATCCCGCACCCGGAGGCGGGCTTCAGCTGGCCCCTAAACAAAAATGTGTACTACTTCAGTGAAAATCAGCTTCACACTAAACTCCAAAACATATTAATAAACAAAAATTAAAAACATACAAGACTAACAAAGGCCAGAGGCTCCTGACTTGGGACAGGCGCAAAGATGTGGTGGGGTTAAACATGTTTTGTGAGATCTCAACCCTCCCCCTATACCTCTAGCCAATGTAGAATAAACAAACACACAGCAATACACAGTTTTGTTTTCACTACTAGAATGCCACATCCCACCTGTGTAACCCTTAAACATGATACTTACTGCTTTGTTTTCAATACTGGAAACATTGTATTACAAATGCCACATCCCACCTGTGTAATCATTAAACATGATACTTACTAGTTGGTTTTCAATACTGGAAACACTGTATTACCCATGCCTCATCCCACCTGTGTAACCCTTAAAAAAGCTACTTACTGGTTTGTTTTCAGAACTGGAAACACTGTATTACCAACACCACATCCCACCTGCAATTAATTAAGACTGCTGTAAAAATTACTGTTCACCAATAACAAGAGTGCACACACTGAAATGTCTCGCCTTCTTTACTAACCATTGATTTTATGTTGATAGTCCTTAATATAAAGCTTTACTACAAGTAACACATAAACTTAACATGATCCAAGAAAATGAGGTCAAGGTCAGATAAACCAAACGAGACATACATGTACACCTTACAATCATTCAATTAACCAAACATAGTTAACCTATTGCTTATAGTTTCTAAGAAACAGTCTTAACCAAGAAAACTTAACATTGACCAATGAACCATGAAAATGAGGTCAAGGTCATATGAACCATGCCAGACAGACATGTACACCTTACAATCAATTTATGAATTAAATATAGTTGACCCTTTTGCTTATAGTATCTAAGAAACAAACTTAACCATGAAAACTTAACATTGACCAATGAACCATGAAAATGAGGTCAAAGTCAAATGATACCTGTCAGTCAGACATATACACCTTACAATTCTTCCATACAACAAATATAGTTGATCTATTGCTTATAGTTGAAGAAAAACAGATCAAAACACAAAAACTTAAAACTGAGAAATGAACCATGAAAATGAGGTCAAGGTCAAATAAAACCTGCAAGACTGACATGTACATCATAAAATATTTCCATACACCAAATAAAGTTGACCTATTGCATATAGTATTAGAAAAAAAGACCAAAACTCAACAAGAGTACACATGCTGAAATGTCTTGCCTTCTTTACTAATCATTGATATTATGTTGATAGTCCTAAATATAAAGCTTAATTACAACTGTCACATAAACTTAACATTAACCAAGAAAACTAAAAATTGACCAATGAACCATGAAAATGAGGTCAAGGTCAGATGAACCATGCCAGGCAGACATGTACAGTTAACAATTCTTCCATCTAACAAATATAGTTGACCTATTGCTTATAGTTTAAGAAAAACAGACCAAAACACAAAAACTTAACACTGAGCAATGAACCGTGAAAATGAGGTCAAGGTCATATAAAACCTGCGCGACTGACATATAGATCATAAAATATTTCCATACACCAAATATAGTTGACCTATTGCATATAGGGTTAGAAAAAAAGACCAAAACTCAAAAACTTAATTTTGACCACTGAACCATGAAAACGAGGTCAAGGTCAGATGACACCTGCCAGCTAGACATGTACACCTTACAATAATTCCATACACCAAATATAGTAGACTTATTGCATACAGTATAGGAAAAACAGACCAAAACACAAAAACTTAACTATAACCACTGAACCATGAAAATGAGGTCAAGGTCAGATGACACCTGCCAGTTGGATATGTACACCTTACAGTCCTTCCATACACCGAATATACTAGACCTATTGCTTATAGTATCTGAGATATGGACTTGACCACCAAAACTTAACCTTGTTCACTGATCCATGAAATGAGGTCGAGGTCAAGTGGAAACTGTCTGACGGGCATGAGGACCTTGCAAGGTACGCACATACAAAATATAGTTATCCTACTACTTATAATAAGAGAGAATTTAACATTACAAAAAATGTTATCTTTTTTTTCAAGTAGTCACTGAACCATGAAAATGAGGTCAAGGACATTGGACATGTGACTGACGGAAACTTTGTAACATGAGGCATCCATATACAAAGTATGAAGCATCCAGGTCTTCCACCTTCTAAAATATAAAGCTTTTAAGAAGTTAGCTAACGCCGCCGCCGCCGCCGGATTACTATCCCTATGTCGAGCTTTCTGCTACAAAAGTCGTCGGCTCGACAAAAACTTAACTTTAACCACTGAACCATGAAAATGTGGTCAAGGTCAGATGACACCTACCAGCTGGACATGTACACCTTACAATCATTCCATATACCAAATATAGTAGACCTACTGCTTATAGTATCTGATATGTGGACTTGACCACGAAAACTTAACCTTGTTCACTGATCCATGAAATGAGGTCGAGGTCAAATTAAAATTGTCTGACGGGCATGAGAACCTTGCAAGGTACACACATACTAAATATAGTTATCCTATTACTCATAATAAGAAAGAAATTAACATTACAAAAAATGTTTTTTTTCAAGTAGTCACTGAACCATGAAAATGAGGTCAAGGACAATGGACATATGACAGACGGAAACTTCGTAACATAAGGCATCTATATACAAAGTATGAAGCATCCAGGTTTTCTAGCTTCTAAAATATAAAGCTTTTAAGAAGTTAGCTAACGCCGCGGCCGCTGCCGCCAGATCACTATCCCTATGTCGAGCTTTCCGTGACAAAAGTCGCAGACTCGACAAAAACCATGAAAAAAACCTTGCAAATTGTAATGCTATATCAATTTGTTTTGAGCATTCCTCGTGTTCCTATAATAATAAAAAGAATAAATGATTGTCTTCCAAACAAAATCCCCTTAGGTATAAACCCCATTTGGACTCTATAATTCATTCAATTTATCTTGCACAAATATATGATTAAGGTATGAGGCTCTCAACTATTTACAGGATACAAGAGAATTCTCCTATGCCACAGATGGGGCTTACCTCTCGGGACTTCTTTTAAATATCATTTAAATCATTTTGACATAAAAAAAAAAAACATGTTTATACATGGTTAAGGGGTTGGGATCTTGACAATAACATTTTTAAATGGCAGGGAATGAGGTGGCCCCTTGAGACTAACCCTATATATTATTCAAATCATCATGGCATGACAAACAGTAATATAGATAGTTGAGGGGTTGGGATCTTGACCACTTACACGATTGCCAGGGGATGGGGATGAACCTTGGATACTAACCCTGTATATCATTCAAATCATTTTGACATGACAAACAGGAATACATATAAATGCTTTAGGGGTGGGAATCTCGACTGTTTACAAGATATTAGAACATTATCAAAAGGCAGGGGGTGTGGTGACCCTTGAGGACTAGCCCTATAGAGCATTTGATTTGCTTTATTATGTAGGACATATTCAATTCTTTAGATTTTCCAATTTTTTTTTTACTTTTTTGCATATTGAACAATAAAAGAAGAGAGTTTCAATGTCCCCTAGGCCTGCGTCGCACATATTTCATCTGTTCTGTCCAAGGACAATAACTAAAAAAAAGTTTTTTTGTTCTTTAAAACTTTTAAAAATAATTCTTTGCCTACATTTGCCCTTATTGCAATCAATTTAGGACAAGTTGGGGTTAAATTTGAAGGGCAGTAACTCAAACAGTTTGTGGACTGTCAATTAAGGATGTGTTAACTTTTTTGTAGATCTTATCTATTTTATTTCTCTCTATCTTTACTATAGTTTCCGAAAGAAAAAAAAAACACACACAAAAGGTTAACATCTACATTCAAGGCCAATAACTCCTATAAGTAGTTAAGTGACTATTTTGGCCTGATTGACTCATTTGTGGATATTGTTCTGCAAATCAGTTTATCTTTTCATAGTTTCTGCCAAAAAACTAAAAGCTCTAAAGAGCCTGTGACTCTCACCCGGGTATATGTTCATCTTTAACAATAGCCCCTCTCCAACATTATAGATTAGAGTATAATTTATGACTAAATTATAGGTACTTCTTTTTCTCTGAAAAATACCTATATATATATATATGCATTTAGTTAAGTACCATGCAGCATAGATTTTAATTCTTTAGAGAAAAGAGCATATATTCAACTTTTAGAATCGTCAGCCTTTTGCCATCAAATTGTGTGCAATTTTCTAATTTTTCTAGGATTAAAAAAAAACTGATAAAGATTTGTGGTTTGTTTTAAACTATATGCTTACATCGGAATGCACCAGATATCTTTTTTAAAAGATAGTACTTGTTTTATATTGTATTGCTGATCATTTTCTGTTTACAGTTTCTTTTTCTATTGTATAGTGTTTTTCAAGACATCTTAAAAGGGTAAAATCGTCACTTCAGGGCAGTATTTCATATAATGTGGACAAACAATTTCTCTTCTGTTGACTTATTTCAGGTCTTGCCTTGCTCATCATTTTGCTGCTATAGCTTTCACCAAAAATGCAACACATGGGTAAAATCATCATTAAAAGGCAAATACTCCCTTTAGGTAGGCAGGAGTAATACAAATATAAGTTATGTTTATTAACTTGAAGATGTAAGTAATATTCTCTAGTATAAGAAAATGTGTAAGGTTTTAATGTTCTTTTTTTTAGGTTTGAGTAATCTCCCCTTAATCTTCTCAAAAAATTACAACTTCAAAAATCTCAAGTTATGGTAGGTCAAATCATGTCTAAACAATTTTTTTTCTGCTTTGCTATTAATTTTTTTTTAATTAGAGTTCAACATTTTATCTGAAGAACTAAAATAAGAAATCTATTGCACACAGATTTTAAGTAACTGTGCAAAGCCTGCTCCCTAGAGGCTTGTTAATACTTTGAAGATAACAGACAATGTGATTCTCTTTGTCCATAAAATAATAGTAAAGACAACTATAAACAACAGACAATTAAACACTCTATTAAAGCAAGAAAACAAAAAACAGAAAAAACTTATCGCCCCTGTCATGGCGGCGCCCATGAAAATTTCGAGCTGAAAAAAAAAAGAGTAATTTATCCATTTAGAATGTGTTTGTGTAGTTAAAAATATGAAATTAATAGTCATATAACTTTCAAAAATGAAAATGGTTTAAGCGCAGAATATTGTGGTAACAAATAAATACTGTACGGTTAAATATCGAAAAACCAGTAGATTGATTGAATGAAAACTTTGTATTGAGAGATGGCCATGGTGACAAAAGAAGATTTCGCTGACCTTAAAAATTTAATGATGGGTATAGATACTAAGGTAACAAAGTTCTCATCTAGGCTTGACTCCGTGGAGAAAAACTTGACTGAACTAATTAGTGATGTGAAATCTGAGGTAGGGCAAGTAAAATCTGACCTCAGTATCACAAACACTGAGGTAAAATTACTTAGACAAGACCACAATGAGCTTGAGAGAGGTGTAGGACACT